CTCCAGACGTGTTATTCCAGGCCAACACATTCCTGTCTGGAATACCCTTGACAGCAGGCTTCCCACCCTTCTGACCACCTATCCTTCTGGATTTCGCTCTATCAACTCTCTGGTCTCTACCATCTGCAGTAAGCCAGACATGGTTCTCACCTGGTGATTGAGCATTAAGGATGCCGGCGAACACTGGGTCACTTGTGCACTTTCCAATGTAGATTCATCGTGCTAGGGATGCCTCACCTTGTGAGACTTTTAAGGTCTGTTTCAAGATTTGTGCAAATTTCTCTGACTAGTGTTTGTCTCAGGGTGATACAGAGCCAATCTCACATATCTGACTCCGTGATTTTCCTCCTCAAACTTTATCATCACAAACTGTGGACCATTGTCACTGACCACTTGTTTGGGGTTCCTGAACCTAGCAAGTATTTCATCCATTTGGCCTATTGTTGCTCCTGCTGATAAAAAAAAACTTCATGGCCGCCACTTTGGGATACTTGGAATGGGCATCCAAGACCACTAGTAGCACCTGTCCCTCTAATGGTTCCGTGAAATCAAAGTGAATCTGTTGCCACAGTGACTGAAGCCACTCCCATGGGTGAAGGGGCAACAATGACAGCACTTTCCTTATTAATGGATTGGCATGATCCCACGTTCTCCTTAATCCAGGAGTCTGTGTGTGTCAAGATGGTGGCACAGTAGGACACTCCAGTTGGAGCTCCTTTGCTTGTCAGTCCCTTTCCCTTCTTATTTTCTCCTCTTCGTACCTTTTCTTTTCTCCTCCTACCTGGAGCATCAAGTCAAGGAGCAGAGCGAGCGGGCCGTGTCCCATGGCGGAACAGAGTGAGCACAGGCCATGTCCCGTGGCGGGGTCCTGTGGCAGAATGAATGGGCAATTCGTGGAGCAGCGGCAGAGCGAGTCCCGGATGGAGTCTGGCACATGGAAGCAGCGTGGCCTTGTTCTCTGGGACCTGCAACCCCGGACTGGAACTTAGGTAGTTGTGGTCACCTATTATCATTCTGGACTTTTTCACTGTTTCATGCTAACCTATATTCTTTTTTACTCTGTAACAACACTTTCTTTTACTCTGTAAGTTTTGCACCTAGGTACTTGTACCTAAGATGGTGCCATTAAAGGCGGCCGCTGTAGTACATGTGACGATAGAGGGTATTCTATTCGGTTCAAAAGTAGCTCCTGGCTATCTCTTTCATTCATATCATGCCTGGGTGCCCTTCGTGTACTTGTTCCAGCACCTTTCCTCTTAACAGGGAAGGAATAACAACTCCCATTCCCCACATTAAAGTTCTGTCCCAAACAGACAACTTCCACTTCCTGGACAGATAAGGGTGTAATTCTGGGTGGCTTCTATGAAAAGTCCTCCCTCTCAGCACCAAGTCCACCACTTGGCTCAAAACTGATTCATTACAGATAGCATTCTGCACCTGAGTTGCTGGCACTGACACGTTGTCTTCCTGGGAAATGCACATAATTTTCAGGTTCCAGTCAGGAACACCTTTATTTCCTAGTATTAGTAACCTTGGCAGAGCATCTGCATTGCTGTATTTCTCTGCCTGTCAGTATTTGATCTCATTTAAGTAGCTGGTAGGGCCAGTGCCCATCTCTGCAGGTGTGCTGCCACAGTTAATGGAATCCCCATATACAGCCCAAAAACAGAGGTTAGCAGTCAGTGGTTGGTCAGAAGTACAAAATGCCTGCTGTAAAGGAAATGATGCTCAATCCTTCTTTTTTGACTTGGGCATAATTCTGCTCTGTATTTGTGATCTCAATGTGAATACAATGGGCCTTTCTTTACCATTCAGTAAGATGTGTGACAGTACAGCGCCAATGCCATAAGTTTCCACCCCTACTTTAGACTGGATAGTGTACAGTACCAGATGTGCCTTCAGACTCCTAGGATGTGCCTTTGGCTTTAACTGTAATTTAGTTTTGACACCTTTCACTTCCACTAGGGTCCGTCTGAAGACATCTTTGTATTTGTCCAGGATCTCTTGCAAACTTATGTTTGAATCCACCAACATATAAAAATACACTAACATATAAAGTCCACCAATAAATGGCTTGGCCCTCTTGTGATGCAGAGATAGTGTCTCCACCCCTGAACCAGGAGACCCCATTTCAAGTCCCACCTGCTCCAGAGGTGTGTATTAATAGCAACAAAAACAAAGTTGCTGGAAAAGCTCTGCAGGTCTGGCAGCATCGGGTGAGGGGTGAGGGGTGAGGGGTGAGGGAACAGAGTTAACATTTCGGGTCCGGTGACCCTTCCTCAGAACTGATGGTGGCTGGGAAAACGTCAGTTTATATGCAGAAAAAAGGGGAGGGGAATGGGGTAGGGAGTAAACGATAGGATAGAGCCTAAAGAGAGAGAAGAAGAACAGTTGGACAGACAAAGAGTTGATAACGATCAGGCTGGGATGGTGAATAGTTGTTAATGGGGACTATTAGTGACTAATAGTGTGTGTGTGTATTAATAGATCTGAACAGGTTGATTAGGAAAATAGGTTAAAATAGATTGTTTCAGGAAGCAGCTGAAGTAAGTAATAACAATAATTATAGGATAGAATGGTGGCTCAATGGTTAGCGCTGCTGCCTTACAGCACCAAGGACTCAGGTTCAATCGCACCTTCAGATAACTGTCTGCGTGGAGTTTACATATTCTCCCCATGTGGGTTTCTGCCAGGTTTCATCCCACAGTTTAAAGAGGTGTGGGTTAGGTGGATTGGCCATGTTAAATTGCCCACAGTGTCTGGGGTGTGTAAATTATGTGTATTAGCCATGGGAAATGTAGGGTTACAGGGGAGGGGCAGTGTGGACATGTTGGGCTGAATGGCCTGTTTCACACCACAGGGATTCTATGATATTTACCATGCCTCAGTTCAAACTTAAATTTTTACAACCAGAAGCATCCAATGCCAGGCATTTGCATTTTACAACATAAAAAGTGGCAGTTTGGCACACTGGTCCTTTAACTGCACTGTCACCAGTATATAGCTCCTCACTTGTTTCATATATGTCCGTAGTGTATTCTTGGCGGACTTCAATGGTAGTACCCTTAACTTCTCCCTGTGTACCAATTCAGAATCAGAGACACCACTGTCCCTGTATCTTTACTGTCTTTCTATCTTTACTGTCTTCCCCTCTATTTTGGGAAGAATCCAGAATTGATCAGCATCACCCCGTACTGACAGTATGTTTAACAGGAACTCCACTGTCTTTGGGCTTTCCGCTTCTCCTGCAGACCCTCCTGATTTCCGGTCTACTCTCTGGCTGGCAGTATCTACCTTATGCCTTGCCCTCTAACTCATTTCTTTTAAACATCCCTTCTCTTGCTTGAGCTGTACCCAGCCATTTCAGACGATATGGCCCACTCACTTACACCTGCAGCACTGGGCTTCTCACATCCAACATGTCTACTCCTTGTGGCCATTCTTGACACATAGAATACTGCCAATGGTTGGTATTGCATTTTGCTGCAGCTCAGCATTGTCAGCCAACTGTGTTGCTTCGCTGGTGGCCAATTCCATCGAGGTAACAATTTCAAAAGCTGCCTTGAAATCCAGGTCTCTCCTTGTTAGTAGCTTCCATTCGATGGCTTTATGTCAGAGGCCACAAACAAAACGGTCCCACAGGACATCTTGGAGGGATCCTCTGAATTCGCAGTGTTCTGCTAACCTCTTTAAGGCAGCCACAAATTGGGCAATGACTCTCCTTTGTACAGAACCCATTAATTAAACCAGAACTGTTCTGTGATCATCAGTGGCTAGAATGAGAAATAATTTCCTAACATTTTCCATAGCATTTGAAATGTCTTCTCCACGTGTTTCTCTGGTTGTACCAGGCTCCTTAAAATTGTAAAAGTCTTGCTCCCAACGGCAATTAAGAAAACCGATACCATGATGTCCTCAGCCATTTTGTTCACCTTTAATAATGAATTTAAATGTTTGTGTATAAAGTCAAATTTTCTGACTCTTCATCAAATCGTCCCATCGCCAACCGCTTGCCATTTTGCTTTCCCACCAAGGGACGTTTTTCACACCACTCGAGTCTGGTAATCATTCATAGCCCGAGTCCCCTCGGTGAACATTTCTATGTCGATCACTCTCACACCCTCTGTACCAGTACACTGTTCCTCACTGGCGTCACCCGCAGCCTGAGTCCCCTCATGACCACTCTCCATGACAGCCCCGGTAGCGTACTCTGTTCTTCAGCCATCAGTCCAAATCCCCTCATGACTGCCGCTTTTGGCCCGATCCATAGTGAGTACCTTCTTTCCTGGCATCCGTGCAGTCTAAGTCCCCTCGTAACCATTTCCCTTGACGTTGATTCCTTAATCCCACGCTGAAATTCCTAAAGTCCAGGTGACATCTCCTCCAAACAAAAAAAAATGGCATTTGCACACAGTTTGTGGGTCAGACCAACACTTGTCGCCAGTTGTTAAGTTTATAACTCACTGGGAACTAGGTATTATACATGGAGGGAAGCACAGGTTTAACTCTGAATAGGAACACTTTATTTATTGTGAGGCGGATTAGCACATGACTTCAGTTATTATGATGCTTATGGTAACATCAAAGTTACCAAATTCATATTCGAAATGGCCCATTTGCTGTTGTATTTCTTGTTCTGAACGGGCATTTTCGACACTGTCATAACATCTATATTGCACTTCACTAATGTCTCGAGCCTTGTGACAGTGTTAGTGTCCTACCTCTAGACCAGAAGGCCTAGGTTCAAGAACTTTTTTGCTTGGAAATAGATCATAACAGATTGATTAATGAAAAAACAGGCTCCTGATGTTGCTCCCAATGAGAAAGCAGAAGATCTGAAGCCTCAGCTTTGCCCCAGGAGAGGTGAGTGCTGTTGAGGAAGTAAAAGCTTTCTAGATTAAATGAATTGTGAATTAGAAAGAATAAAAAGGGTCAGGGGGTTGACAGCTCCTGTGTGACCAGTGGTGCTGTGGCCTTCTTTGTCCACATTTTCCTTTTAGGCAAGAAATTGAGCCCCTGGGTGGCTGCAGGGAGATAGTGTCCATAAAGCTGGTAGGTTCCTCAGGAAGTCAGGAGCTGTAAAATGACCTAGTATAGATTTTTGAAAATGCAAATTAGTTCTAATCCTTCTTGAAACAGCAACTGACCTATCTTGCACCCTTTCTTTAGAAAGCTTCCCTAGCATTAGCACACCTTTGGAGACTTATTCCAACACAGCGAGTATTTTAATTGGTGATAGTAAAGGGGTTATGGTTGGATTCTCTCTTATTGGAGATGGTCTTTATCTGGACTTAAAATGAAACAAATGTTCTTTGCCATTTAATTGACTCAAGCCTGAATCTTGTTCACACTTTACTGCATTTGAAAAGCAGATTGATGAGATGCAAATGGTACTGACCAACATGCAATCATCAGTCGATAACCCACTTTAGACATAATGATGGAGGGAAGGTCATTGATGAAGCAGCTGCAGATGTTTGGGGCAAGGACACTATCCGGAGGAACTCCTGCAGTGATGTCCTATGGGTGAGAGGATTGACCTCCAACAGCCCCAACTCTTCCTTTGAGCAATATATGACTCCAATTAGCAGAGAGCTTTCCCCGTTCCGATTCCCACTGACTCCAGTTTTGCTGAGGCTTCTTGATGCTACACTCATTGAGTGCTGCCTTGATCACATTTCACCTCTGGAATTCAACTCTTTGCCCATTTTGAACAAAGGCTATAAAGAAGTCAGGAGCCGAGTGTCCCAAACTGAGTGTCAGTCAGCAGGTTATTGTTGAATAAGTGCTTTACAACAGAACTGTCGACAACATTTTCTGTCACTTTGCTGATGACTGGAGCAGACTTATGGGACAGTCTGGGTATATCCTGTACACAAAAGCAGTCCTGTTTTGTGTACAGGATATACCCGGGCAATCTTTCATATTGTTTAACCGATGCTAGTGTTGTAGACGTACTGGACCTGATCAGCTAAGGATGCAGCTAGTTATGGAACTTCAGTACTACTAGCAGAATTTTGTCAGGACCTTTGGCTTTCGCAGTGTCTTCAGCTGTTTCTTAATGTCACATAGTGGAAGGTTGACACCAATGATACTGTGAATCTCAGAGTGGGCCTTGGTATACAAGTATTCCAGTGTTGTAGCATCATCAAGTTGACATCTCATTTTTTAGAAATGCCTGGTGCTGCTCCTGAAGTGCCCTCCTTCATTCCTCACACTGTTAAAATGACCAGATACAGGAAGGTTAGGAGGTGTTCTGCAAAGCAGTCACCAAGTCAGCGTTTGGTTTCCCCAGCGTAAAGTAGGCCACATTGGGTGAAGTGAATACAATACATAAGATTGAAGGTGGTACGGAGTGAAATGCTGCTGCACCTGTTTAGGCCCTTAGATGCTGAGAAGGAAGGAGATGAAGGGGCAGGCATTGCACCTTCTACAGTTACATGGAAAAGTGCCGTGGAAAGGGAGGGGTGGTGTTGGAGGTCGCAGAATGGGCTGGGGTGTCCTAGAGGGAACAATCCCTGCAAAATGCAGACAGGAGAGTGAGAGGAAGATATATTTGATGGTAGTGTTCTGCTGGAGTTGTCTGAAATGGTGGAGAATGCTCCTTTGAATGTGGAGGTTGGTTAGGTGAAAAGTGAGAGCAAGGGGGACCCGATCACGCTGTTGAGTGATGGGAAGGGGCAAGGGCGGAAGCACGGGTGATAGGTCGGATGTAGTTGAGGGCCCTGTCAACCACAATGGGGGGGAAACCACGGTCATGGAAGAAGGAAGCCATGTCAGCAATGCTGCTTTGTAAGTTCCTGCAAGGATTCGATCCCATTCCCCCAGTTCCTTCACCTACGTCATGTCTGTTCAGATGCCACCAACACCATTCCCCCCTTCCGACAGTACCTTCCCATGTAACTACAGAAGGTACAACACCTGTCCCTACACCTTCTCCCTGCTCACTGTCCAAGGGCCTAAACAATCTTTCCAGGTGAAGCAGCATTTCACCTGTACCACCTCCAATCTTGTGTATTGTATTCGCCGCACCTAATGTGGCCTACTCTACATTGGGGAAACTAAACCTAGACTGGGTGACCGCCTTGCAGAGCCCCTTTGGTCCATGCACAAGCATGACCCCGACCTTCCCAGTAGCTGGTCATTTTAACACAGCATCCTGCTACATGCCCACTTGTTTGTCCTTGGCATACTGTAATGCTCCAGTGAATCAAAGCACAAACTGGAGGAGCAACATCTCAGCTTCAAACCAGGCAGCTTACAAACTTCTGGGCTCAACATAGAGTTCAACAGCTTCAAATTGCAAACCCATTCCTTCCCTTTCTTTTAGCTTTGCTTGTTACATTCTCTGAAACCTTTTCTCCCCACCTCCCCATCCCAGTGGGACTGCCTGTTCTTTCCGGACTGGCGTTAGACACACCATTGTTCTGCCATTCTCATATTCCAATCACTTAATCTGAACTATCAGCATCCCTTCTCCCCCAGCTCTTCAACCCTCCCTACCCGACTTATGCATAAGTGCTGTCCCCTCCACTCTTCACTTCAGCTCTGATGAAGAGCCATCTAGACTTGAAACCTTAGCTGGCTTTCTCTCCATGGATGCTGCCTGACCCGTTGTGATCTCCAGCATTTTTTGTTGTCAGAACTTAACCTCCCTTCAAGAGTTCTTATGCTTCCTCAATGAATCTGTAGATTGCACATGACCATCGTAACATACAAACATACTGGGAGCAGAAGTAGGCCATTTGGTCCTTCAGGCCTGCTCTGCTGTTCTCTAAAAACATGGCTGATCTGTTTATGTTTTGATCTCCATATTCCCATCTGATCCCAATAATCTTCAATTCCCTTGCTAAACAAAAGTCTATTTGCCTCCACCTTAAAAATATTCAATTGCTCCATTTCATATTTTCTGAGAAAGGGAGTCCCAGATTTGCTCATCTCTGCCCTAAAAAGGACCACATCTAATTTTTAAAGTGTCTCCAAGGTCTGGACTCACCTACAAGAGGAAACAATGCACTTACGGCTAGCAAAAATCAGATTGGTCTGAACTCAGGATTAATTTGAAGCTGTCCAGTTGAGTTTGGATTTTCTGCCTGCATGATTCACACAATACCTTGCTCTCCTTATTGACAAAATTAGGATCGGCCAGAAATGAGTGTTGAACTTCCAAATGTTGGTCCTGTCCACCGTTTTTAAAGGCTTCCAGGGTAGGCCTGGACTCAAAAATCCATTCTCTAAATTCTCATCCTACAAATTCCTTCTAAAAAAATACATTTCTATTAAAGGCACTGCAATGCAAGTGGGAGTGTGTAATTAGAGTGTTCCAAAGTAAAAATAAAATCTGATTTACTTAATGTGCATTAATTGAAAACCTTTCCTTGAATACCATCTGCAGCTTTGCAGCCCAGGAATTCTTGGTGTATTGTGAAATGAGCCTAGACCACCCGAGAATTTTGCAGTCTCTTCTTTTGCATTGGCTGTATGAATGTAATGTATAAACAGAAACTTGCCTAAGGGAACTTCGGCTCAGAGATCCTTATTATTGTTCAAAGAACCGTCAACATGGTTGTTAACCACATCACTACAACGTCATCAATTAAGAATATGAGCTCATGTCACAATATCCATTCTGTTCATTTTGCTTGAAGTGTGGCTACTGCATGGGTTCATAGTTTATGAACAAAATAGAATCTCAGAAAATAGGTTATGACAGGAAATCAATTGTGAAGCCTTTGACATTGTATGATTTGAATTCAAGAATTTTAAAAGATTTAATCTGAGTTAAATTGACAACGAACGGATTATTTATTCCTGTACTATAGCTCTTCATTCTATTTAAGGTTTTACAGTAAAATACTTTGCTTCCAGTAATTTATCCTTGTAGAACCACCCAAAACAGGTCATTCAGTTCAATGTTATTTTTGACTCATTGTTGCTGTGTACAAAGTCACACGCAGCAACAAACACTGAACAGCAAATAATTTGTTTTCTCAGACACATTGCAAAGCATTCATGACCTCTTAATTTTTTTGATAAAATATACAAGTCATTGACATTGTACAACAAACAAGGCTGTGGTATTTGCACCCATCTTTAGCCAGAATTAAGGAGTGGCTGATCCATGTCAGCTTCACCTTGAGATCACCAGTATCACTCCATATGATATCAGGAAATGGCAGAAGGCATTGGATTCTTTGAAGGATATGGACTGTAGCGAGATTATGGCAACAGCGCTAAAGTCTTTCCTGGAGAACTAGCCACACGCGTGCCTAAGCTGTTTTTAGTACAGGTACAAGGCTGGCATGTAGCCGAAAATGTGGACAAATGCTGAGAAAAACTGAGTTAATGGTTCAGGTCCACTTATTTTCTACTTGCTCTATTTTGAGTTTGTTGAAGTTCTAGGTTATTTACAGTTGCTGCAGGTGGTGTAGTGCTGCATATAGAAAAGGCACTGGCTGTAATGCTGAGGGCTTAGGGCATGTTGCTTGCTCCAAGTTATTAGGACTACCTTAACAGCTGACCTGTGGTACAAGAAGAAAATGGAAGGCCTGGTTGAGGTTTGTGCCACCTCAGTGATACTGTACGACAGATGTCTGGACTGACTGGCAACAGAAAGGGCACTGGCAGAGTGGCAAGTGTGGTGCGCAACTGCTGTCATGACATGAGCGAACAGCAGTATCTCCAGTGAATATAAAACTGCTGAGCATCAAACTTCTTGACCCAGAACTAAACAAGGTCATCCTCCAAGGCCAACTACAAACATTTTCAAAGAAAGCCAGTAGCTCCACTATCCATCCTTCAAGGTCTGGACAGAAGAATTGGGACAGGCAAAGGCACTGTCATTCAGTTTGGTTCCTCCAGGGCTGCTTAACTCTTGACCTCATTTCAGCCTTGATCCAAACATGGGCAAAGGAGCTAAATTCCAGAGATGACATTCAATGACATTAAGGCAGCATTTGATCAACACTGAAATTAAGGAGCCCTTGCAAAATTAGAGACAACAGGGATCAGTGAAAACTCTCCATTGCTTGGAATCATACCTAGCACAAAAGGAAGATGGCATGGTTGTTGAAGGTCAATGACCTCAGTCCCAATCATTGCAGTATTTCTCTCCATTATTAGGCCAGAAGTGAGGATGTTGGCTGATGGTTGCACAGGTCCTTTGATATTGAGAGTCTGTGTTCAAATGCAACAATACCTGAATAATCCAGGCTAGGGCTGATAAATTTCAAGTCACATTCATGCCAGTAATGACCACCTTCAATAAGAGATTGTCTAACCATCACCCTTTGACATTCAGTGACATTACATTACTGAACCCCACTATCAACATCTTGGATTACCATTGACCAGAAAGTAAACTGTATTAGCCATATAAATACAGTGGTTACAAGAGCAGGTTAGAACTCGGAATCTTGCACCGAGTAATTCACTTCCTGACTACCCAAAGTCTGTTCACTATCTATAAAGGCACAAGTCAGGAATGTGATGGAATACTCCCCATTTGCCTGAATGAGTGCAGCTTCAACAACACTCAAGAAACTTGACACCATCCAGGACAAAGCAGTCTACTTGACTTACACCACATACATAAACAGCGTATGCTCACAAAAAAGACCCTGAACTACCCGTTGCCTGCCACTTCAATGCACCACCTTGCTCCCTGGCCAACATCTCTGTCTCTGGCCTGCTACAGTGTTCCAGTGAAGCCCAACGCAAACTGGAGGAACAACACCTCATTTTCTGCTTGGGGACCCTACAGCCCTCCGGACTCAATATTGAGTTCAATAATTTTAGGGCCTAAACTCTCCCATGTCCCAGCCCCCTACCCCATACACCAGGCCTTGTCACCACATAGCCTGCCATTACACACCCCTTGTTATTAGTCACTAACAGTTCCCATTAACAACTATTCACCCTCCCAGCCTGATCGTTAGCAACTCCTTTGTCTGTCCAACTGTCTTTTTCTCTCTTTGGGCTCTATCCTAGCGTTTACTCCCTACCCCACCCACCTCCCTATTTTCTGCATATAAACTGACGTTTTCCCAGCCACCATCAGTTCCGAGGAAGGGTCACCGGACCGGAAACGTTAACTCTGTTTTCTCCTCCACAGATGCTGCCAGACCTGCTGAGCTTTTCCAGCAACTTTGTTTTTGTTCCCGATTTACAGCATCTGCAGTTCTTTTGGTTTTTATTAAGTTTAACATTCTTGTTTCTGACCCAAATTTCTCACTCTCAAACTAAATGCTAAATTCTACCATGTTATGGTCACTGCTCCATAGACAATATTTTGTTTAGAGGTCGTACATCACATGTCACCAAATCTAAAACAGTCAGATCTTGGGCTGGATCCACAACATAGTATCTATCCCAGCAAACTATTCCAAATACACTATGAATTCTTCTTTGTGGCTACTTCTGCCAACTTCATTTTGCCAGCTACATGAAGATTAATGTCATTCATAATTAGGTACAGCCTTTTTTATATGCCCTCATTATCTCCAGATTTATTCTCTCACTACAGAACAGCTACTGATAGTATTCTATGGGATACTCCCAACAGTGTCATCTTCCCCTTGTTATTTCTTACCGCCACCCATATAGATAATATATTATCTAATCCAAGATCATTTCTTGCTCATATAATATTTTCATCTTGTACTAACAAAGCCACCTCGGTCTGTCCTTTCGAATGGTTACATATCCCTGAATATTTAGTTCCCAGCTTCAATCTCCTCATAATGATGTCGCCATAATGCCTGTAAGATCATTCCCATTAAATTCTATTTATGCCATTAATTCATTCATTTTGTTTTATTTATGCCTTCAAGATGTCCTTATTGAAAAATTCAGAAGTCACATGACACCAACAGATGTATTTGAAATCACAAGCTTTTGGAGTACTGCTCGTTTGTCAGGACTTCGCCTGCTTGTGATTTCAAATAAACTTGTTGGACTCTAACCTGGTGTTGTGGGACTTCTGATTTCAGTCCAACACCAGCACCTCCACATCCTTATTGAATGGAAGATATCTCGCATATAGTTATTTATGGAGTTTCAAATAGGAGAATTGTTCCTGAATCCTTTGGTTATGGTCCTGCTGATAGTTGTCCTCCCGCTTCACCTCATCCTTCTTTCAGAGCATGCTCAGTTCTGTATGATCTCTGTTTCTTACTTCTATAAGAGTACTGCGCCCATTTCTGTGGTCAATTGATTTGTGCCAAACCATGAAGTCATAAAAAACTGCTTCATCACTTGCCACTCCACTTCTTGTAGTTGTTGCAACTTAAAACGAACATAGAAAGCTGTAAACATGGATAGTATTGAAACAACAGCCAAAGACAATAAGCTAGCAACTAACCTATTAAGTAGCTGATGATCACATTAAATAGTACTGGTAAGAATCCTTCCAACTGCCTAACCACCTAAGTTGAGTGAGGCTAAGACTGAGCATTAAACTGGAGACTTCAGTTCCAAAATGGCATTGCTGCAATGTTGCATGTTGATTAACACATGAACTGCTTGTTCATCCACTTTCTATTCACTGTGTGCATGCTAATACCCTTATCAAAATGGCTTCTGGCAGAATTCACTCCAAAAATGTGCAAGAGCTGCATAAATGTCAGTTTGGAGATCCAAGAGCACTAGTTTTGCCCAAGTTTTATTTCCTCACCTCTAATTACAGTGTGTCTAAATTTGCACAGACAGAGTTATATTGTATATTGTATTATTTCTGTACTAATATTTGTGAATTAGTGTCTTAAAATACCAGATGTCAATACATACTGATGTTTTGTGAACCTCTATGCCGACACAAATTATATCACAACTAATTTTTTTTCCAATGTAATTTTTGTTCTGATTTGGAAATATCTGTTAATGGTTTTGTAGTTTATGCATAAACCATTTTTCATACCCTCTTCATAATGCTTTGCAGTCTGCTCTTCAAACCTTTATTGATCATTGTCATGGCATCAGTACGAGGTTTGGGGACAACTGCAATGAAATAAGACACTGGTTGAGGTCATATAATTTTCGATAATTCATGATCTAGGTTCAGCACTGAAAAAGTGGGAATATGATTGTTTCAAACAGTTAATATCCTTGAATGTTTTATATAGCCCATAACTTAAGTTTGGGACTTCTATTCACAGATTTCAACTCAGTTTGCAAAAGGTAGGTACAAACATCAGCCCCAGACACTTCTTGGCGTCAATAACACGACCCTTAAATTGTGTAAGTGATGCATTCTTATTATTTAACTATGCAAAATTTCACTTTTGAACATAACCAAGTATCAAAGTTGCACATTCTCCCCGTGTCAGCGTGGGTTTCCGCCGGGTACTCCGGTTTCCTCCCACAGTCCAAAGATGTGCAGGTTAGGTGGATTGGCCATTCCAAATTGCCCATTCCGCCCAGGGATGTTTAGGTTAGGTGGGTTAGACATGGGAAAATGCAGGGGTGGGGGAATGGGTCTGCGTGGCATGCTCTTTGGAGGGGCGGTGTGGACTTGTTGGGCCGAATGGCCTGTTTCCACACTGTTGGGAGTCTATGATTCTACAAAGTGTAGAGCAAGAAATTTGAAAGCAACCATTTTTGAAATGTCATGCTTGCACGATACATGAATAAAAAAGACCTGAGAAGCGCTGGATATTGAACCATGGGCCTCACGATCATATCAATGGCTAAAGGAGGTAGCCATTAATGTTTGATCAGTGTTACCATCATAGAGACCAATGGGTTTGTGATCATGGACCTCAAAGTCTGAAGTTTTGGGGTGGAACTGCGATCTGTAGCCAATTTCTGAGTTAGAGGCTTATATTCCAACATTAACTTTCCAAATGTTTGATGCTTTCATGTGTAGTTTGCAATGTAATGGTTTGAAGGAGGGATGGTCAGTGATAGCTTTATCCCTTAGAATCACAGAATTTCACTACCTCTCTGTGGGGATTTCTCAGGACTCTCTCCAATTGATAAAACATTACTTTGTAACTCTCTTGTGCACATCTCTCTTCTCTGCATCCTACCCTTTTGAGAGACCCTCAGGAGAACTTCTCTTCTGAGTGTCCACTGATCCCACCTGTAATGATGCTGTGGCTGTAAGAGATTATTTTGTCCTTTTTTTTGAAAAAAAAAAGGAGGTTCACAGATAGAGGTAGTGAGCTGTCTACTGGGAAAGCCAGTAAACAGCTTGTGAGTCCTTGGGTTTTTTTAAAAAAATGTTTGAACAATAGAAGCAGCCTAGTTGGGAATGGCCAGTTCTCACAGACCAGGATTTCTAGTTTTTTTCAGCTTTAGGTTTAGCTTTAAGCTATTTCTGCTGGAGTCTCAGCAGGGCAGAAGCTACCAGAGTTTTGAAGATGTAGAAGTTGTCTTTTCCCTCTCTCGGTTACAGCTAGAAGCTGAGGTTTCTCACTGCTGCTGGGTTCCCTGTGAGGCAAATCTATTTTTCTGAATTTGCCTTTTTGCCAAGAGTGTGTTTATGGGACGTTATCATATTGGAACATTTAGCTAGTAATAGTTACTGTATTTATTATTCTGTTAAGTTTTTGAATAGAGTTAAATTATTCCAAGTTGTTTCTTTTGGTGTATTTTAACTACAGTGTTTTCATAAATTGTATTTTGCCTAAAGTCAAGTAGTTTGTCCATCGAATTGCATGTGGAACACAGCCCATTACATTTACCTTTAAAATAAGAAAAAGTTAGGATCTAGCCTACCTTCTTAAAATATATTGAGGGGGTCTGGTCTAGTCTATAAGGAAAACTGCACGTCACCACCGTGGATGGTGATTTCCTTCCTCATCTTATGTACTGTCAAGGGAATGATGATGCCTTGCCTCCTGCCACTGTCATCTGAAAGTCTCCAGATCTCTAAAGCATTTTCCAGAGTGACCTGGCAAATCATGTGTAGCCTTCACAGAGATTGAGTAATCTGAATTTCAAACACCCTAATGAAGCACCTCAACCTCACAGGTCCCAGAGAATCCATGCTGCAATCAGAATCAAATACATTCAAATCTCTTTAATGGAATTGAAAATTGCTTCATTACCATGTGCTAATGATATTAAAAGCTAAACTAATCGTCAATACATCTATGTTAATTATTGTTCTGGCTTCAATGAGTAAGTTACAAGAGGCCAAGCCTTTTGTAACCTGGAAGTTGGCAAATTGAAGCTTGTTCAATTTCCTTCATTTTTCTTCCTACCCAATGCCAGGCCACCCATTCCTGTGGATTAAAGAGGCGATGGAATCATTTAAATGTGAGGATGGAAGTGTTAGAAAGTAAGTGTAAATTCAGATACTTTGGGTTCTTCTGTGACAGTAGTAGAGTGGATCCTTCTTACCAAAATGTGACATAGACAGTAGGGATGTTGTGCATTTAGACATGATTCTCTACATGTTTCTTAAGTTAGGTATGTTCAAACAATCAAAATCAGATTTCTTGGCAGTGGCATCATCCAGCAGAGTCAGAAATAAAGGCACAACTAGACCAGTAATGTTTCTGCTATATAGTTGTATTTTATGATTTTCACAAAGGAAGGTCATGTTTTAATGATTAAAATAAACGATGGAGAATTAGGAACTAATCACAGGCATGTGATTAAAAATAAATTATAATTGCTATCAATAGCTTGACAGAATGGCAAAGTGCACTTTCAAGTCAACAGCATCATGAACAGGCAGTTTATATTTTGTAAAGTACATACCATGCTGGAACAATTTTGTCACTTCTAGAATATATGGTCTGCAAAATGGAAAATAATTCAAAGTTAAATATAAGATCATAAAAATAGTTAGTGGCCGTATCAAGTGATAACTAACAAGTTGTACATAGCATCATGAATCACAATAGAAAATTTCAAGCAATTCACGAACCTCATCCAAATTCAAAGGTAACACTGAAAAACTATGCACTGGTACCCATCTGATTGCAATGTCCATTGAGATAAACAAGATACAAAGTTTAGAACAAAAAAAAAATCCTGGCCATTAGCTTGTAGATCAAGATGGACACAGGTACCAACTTCACAATCACAGAACAATTACAGCAAAGTTGGAGGTGACTCAGCTTGTTGTGTTTGCATCAGGTCTCTTAATGCACCAGGTCTCCCGCATATTGTCCTGATTCAAATTACCATCTAATTCTCTTCTGAATGCATCAATTGGATTTGTCTCCACCACACTCAGATAGAGCATTCCAGACACTCATGACTTGCTGAATGAAAAAGCTTTTCCTTATATAATTTTTGGTTCTTTTACAAGTTACTTTAGGTCCTTACCTTCTCATTCTCAAACTTTTCATGAGTCGTAATATTTCTCCCTTTTGTATTTTACCCAGGCCTCTCATGACTTTGAATATCTGTATTGGATCTCCTCTCAGCAATTCTCGCTCTTCAAAGAAAATAGTTTCAATTTCTTCAATCTAACTTCATAACCGAAATTCCTTATGGTTTTGGAGTAGATTTGTAGCTCGGGTTGTGTGTGTTGAGGTTGGTTGGCTCGCCGAGCTGGTTTCTTGTTTCGCAGACTGTGCTGGGTAACATCCTCAGTGCAGCCTCCGATGAAGCATCGGTGTGTTCTCCCACCTGGTTTTTAAACTGTGGGGTCCGTTGAGATGGATTGCCTCATTTCCGGCTTTCCTTCGTAGTGGAGTGTATATGGGGTCGAGTTCAATATGTTTATTAATAGCATGCTTCGTGGAGTGCCAGGCTTCTAGGTATTCTCGTGTCTGTCTCTGCCTAGTTTGTCCCAGTCGACATGATGGTTCTCCTTGTCCATGTGGATACAGATGAGCGAGTACTGGTTGTGTCTTTTTGTAGCCAATTCCTCATTCCTGAAACCATTCTTGTAAACATGTTCTGCGCTGTCTCCACTCCCTTCAGATCTATGCTAACGGCTGGCACCCAGAAGTGAATGCAATACTCCAGCTGAGGGCAAACTAGTGTCAAGCAGTTCAATAAAATATCTCTGTTCCTGTATTCTAAGATCCCATTTGTCATCATCATCAGTGGTCCTTTGCAGATGGGGATGACTGTTTTCCACTCTCAGGGTGAGTCCATAGGAGGCTGTACAGACTGATGAGACTACCTCAGGCTCTACTACAGAAAGAAGGTGGTTGCGAGAAGGGGTTGGTGGGTGGATCGCTGTGGCAGCGTACACCTTACACTGTTTTCGCTTGGCTTCCACCTTTTCCCAATGGCTTAGGAATACCACTGAATTGCTTCCTCTGTCCACCTGGGGTTTAAACTGCCATTTTGAATCTGGGAGTAGAGCATGTGCTTGAGGGGGTTGGGGTGTCTTGTATCAGTCATGTGGATGATGATGTGCTCAGTCCATGGTAGCCAATCAAGGCTGACCAGTGCCTCAATGCTGGAGATGTTGGCCTAGTCGAGAATGCTGTTGTTGGTATATCTTTCTTCCCAGCGGATTTGCAAGATCTTGCACAGGCAGCATTCATGTTACTGCTCCAGCACCTTGAGGTGTCTGCTGTGAAGCCTATGACATCGTGTGCTTTATTAACCGAACCTGTCAAATTTTCCTGTAATCTTTAATATTTAGTCATACATACATGCAGGTCCCTCTGCTCCTGCATACCCTTTCAAATTGTATTCTTTATTAGATATGGTCTTCTTTTAAATTGCTCGAACGAAAAATCTCACTCTCTGTATTGAACTTTGCTTGCCACTTGTCCACTCACTCCACCAACCTTTTGAAGCTTTACACTGCCTTATTTAGTTTACAAATGCTTCCAAAGTTTCATTCAAATTTGAGGTGAGAGTGACAACTCTTGATATCGAGGCCACGTTTGACCAAATGTGGCATCAAGGTGCCCTAGGAAAACTGCAGTTAATTGGAATCAGAGGAAAACTCTCCACTGGTCGAAGTCATACCTGGCACATGGGAAGATGGTTGTGATTGTTGGAAGTCAGTCATCTCAGCTCCAAAACATCTCTGCAGGAATTCCTCAGGGTAGTGTCCTAGGCCCAACCATCTTTAGCTGCTTTATCAATGATCTCTCCTCCATCATAAGCTCAGAAGTGGGGATGTTCACCGATGACTGCACAACGTTCAGCACATTTCGTGATTTCTCAGGTACCAAAGCAGTCCAATTTAAATGCAACAAGATCTTGACAATATCCAGGCTTTGGCTGAAAAATGATAAGGAACATTCACGCCACAAAAGTGCAGGCAATGACAATCACCAATAAGAGATGAGCCAACTATTGCCCCTTGACATTCAGTGATGTCATCAACACTGAATCCCCCACTATCAACATCCTGGGAGTTACCATTGACCAGAAACTGAACAGGACTTGCTATATAAATGTAGTAGCCAAAAGAGCAGTTCAGAGGCTAGGAACACCACATTGAGTAACCTTCCTAACTCTACAGAGTCGCAAGCCAGGAGTATGATGGAATACTTCCCACTTGCCCGAATGAGTGCAACTTCAACAATATTCAAGATGCCTGACACCATCCAAAGCAAAGCATCCACTTGTTCGGCACCACATCCACAAACATCAACTCTCTTCACCTCCAGCACTCAGTAACAGTAGTATGTACCATCTTTAAAATGCACTGCAGAAATTTGCTAAATCCTTAAGCAGCACCTTCCAAACACATGACCAATTCCATTTAGAAGGACAAGGACAGCAGATATATGGGAACACATTCACCCGCAAGCCGCTCACCAACATGACTTAGAAAAATATCGTCATTCCTTCACTGTCAATGGGACCAAATCCTGGAATTGCCTCCCTAACAACATTGTGGGTTTACCTACAGCACATGGAGTGCAGTGGTTCAAGAAGCTCACCACCACCTTCTCAATGGCTATGAGGGATAGACAATAAATGCTGACACAGCAGCGATGCCTATGTCTCACAAATGAATAAATCAAAATCTTCTGAAAATTTTGCAATTTTTTTTTCTGAACCAAAGGTCTGGATCATTAATATATATCAAATGAACTCCAGTGCAAACCTTTCTCCAGTCTGAACAGCATTCATCAATCATTATTCTGTTTCCTATCATTCAGCTAATTTTGTATCACATTGCTGCTATGTTGCAATCAAGTTTAATTTTGCTTTTAGGTCTCCTGTGTAGCACTATATGAAACACTCTCCAGAAAATCACGTACACTGCATCAAAAGCACTGCCCTCATTAACCTTTTCTTTAACCTTCAGAAGGCATGTTTTTATAGAGTGATTACTACCTGGAATGTGTCTCAAGTTCCAGCAGTTTTGCCACTGAAATTTTTCACAAAACAGCTGGATACCATGGTAGGAAAACCTTCATCTTCCTTCATGGTAGGTTGGTTTTCCTTAGGGTGGGGGATTTCAAGACTAGGGGACAGATTAAGGTGAGAGGAGAAAGATTTAAAAAAGACATGAACGGCAATTTTGTTTTAAAACAGAGTGGTTCATGTGTGGGAGGAACTTCCAGAGCAAGTGTTGGATGCTGGTACAGTCACAACGTTTAAAAGACATTTAGATAAGTACATGAATAAGAAATGTTGAGGGATATGGGTCAAATTCAGGCCAGGTGAGACTAGTTTAGTTTGGGATTATGGTCAGCACGGATTGGTTGCACCAAAGGGTCTGTTTACATGCTGTCTATAAACTATATGGGCCATCGATCACTATTTGCATTTTACATTGTAAATGGCACTTAATGAAATCTCATTGTTTAAATAAATCTTATTATAAACTATAATTATATCAAATGTTTCTTGCAGCCATCAAGCACTACGTTAAAATCAGAGGGGAAACTTGATAAAATGAAATTTATCAGAACTAATCTGGTAACTCCAGTTGTCGATAAATTCCCACACACTATGTTTACTGGTTACAACATGTAGATCAGTGAACAGAATAGTAATTTTGAAATAAGAAGCTGAAAATGCTCTAAGATACAAAAGTATACAAAATTTTAGACATTTATTCCCACTTTCCCTTGTCTGTCGGGTTTACTCTGAATATCAATAATCCAGGCAGTTCTAACGAGAATTTACCCAACGCTCTTTATTAAAGCAAAGTACTCTAGAAAAACCACTGTAAAGGGCTTACCCCTATAATGCTAACAATCAGAAAAGTGAACCATTTTATGTGAACTTGTCTGAAGATCACACCAGAACAACTGATCAGCTCACTCCACCTCAACTTAAATTTTTACTGTGAAGCAAGCTGCTTTTATACTTCTTTCATGCAAAATGGCTGCATGATTACAAGCCTTTGACACTATTCAGTCTCCAGAAAATAATCGATTTGACAACTGGCAAACATCATGTATCTGTCTTCCACATCAGTTTTACCAATTAATTAAGATGTGTTTACGTCTCCTTGAAAAGACGCTCATCTCTTGCCTTTATTGAATTTTAAAACAAAACTTTGCCTGTGCTTGCTGTTCACCACTTGTATGTCATCCAATCAACTGCATAGTTAGATAGCACAATTCCATTGCAATCACAGATTCAGCTGATAAACAGTCCACATCACAGAGTTATTGTGTCTGTTTTAAACAATAATTCAGCTTTTCCAGAGTAACTGTGACGTTTCAGTCCATTACTGCTCGAGTTACAAGGCTTGATGTAAACAAATACATACATTCCTTCAGCCTAACACAAACATTTTAAGAACTCTTGACCTTGCTAATCATTAAGTTATCGCCAAGTTTTGTACGTGTTCTCCTTCTCACTTCATTCTAATTTAATTTATTTAGGCTCACCCAGCAAATTTGAAGTT